TGTCCTACATTGTTACAAACTTACGTGCCGTTAACGTTACGTCTCGACGTGCTGTTACAAACTTCACTTTGCAATGATGCGCACACAACTGCGGCCAACGTCTCACCATGATAATGCCTCGCGAATTACGAAAGTCAAGTGTTCACGTGTGCGTATTCGTATTCGTCGTATGTTAAACGCGCTATGACCTTCTTTCGAAATGACAGCGCTCGCGATCGAGGATTGGTACGTGTATACGTGCGTTTAAGTTTGTAGCTAAATCGCTCTCGCTGAATGCTAAGGTCGTCGCTTCGCCGGACTTTTTCTCGGTTTCCGTCTTTTTACCGCGCAATCGCGTTTACGAGGAATGAATCGGCCGATTTTCGCGGATTCCCGAGGTCTTTCTTTGATTCACGGATGCGTGCGTGCGTGCGTGCATGTGCATGTATGTGTGTGTAACATACATGTTGCGTCGCTCTCTAACACGGAATCGAACGCGAACGACGTACACTGGGACGGAGAAAAATACACTTCCAAAATTTAAAATTGTGAGAGAAAGAGAGAGAGAGAGAGAGATTAATAAAAAGAATAATTTCGGAAGAATACACATTATAGATTAGTTATTATGTAATAATTTTGCTGCAAGATGCCCTACGTTGTTAGAGCAACCGAATAATTTACTACACAATTCTATAATAATTTGCTATTCGTCTGTTGACAACACGGACATAAATAAGCGTAATAATAAGTTATTATTATTTTTATAATTATCATTTTTTTTCAGTATTCAGTATTTAGAAAAAGACCAATTATAATAAAAAATATGTAAGAAGCAGAGCTTGTAGAGCTTTAAAAGATCTACACAACAGTAATAACAGTTTGAGACTTTGGGTTTCCTAAAGTCATATGAAAATAAATTGAGTTTTTTAAATGGGAATTAAATTCAATTTATTTTCATATGACCTTAGGAAACCCAAAGTCTCAAACTGTTATTACTATTGTGTAAATCTTTTAAAGCTCTACAAGCTCTGTTTTTTACATATTTTTTATCATAATTGGTCTTTTTCTAAATATTGAACATTGAAAAAGAAATGATAATTATAAAAATAATACTTATTGTTATTATATGTGTGTAAGAAGATCTTGAAAAGATCTCGATGTCACATCCGCAAGAGTCAGCGACAGAAAACAGATATATTCCCATTTTTTTAAAAATACAATTTACCTTCATATGACCTTAGGGAGCCCAAGGTCTGTTATTGCTATTGAGTATATTTTTTGAAGTTCTACAACCTTGCTTCTTACATATTTTTTATCATAATTGGTCGTTTTCTAGATACTGAATATTGAAAAAAAAGCGAACTCTTCTCACTGTACGGTGACGCCATATGCGGCGAGCGCAGTTGCACGCAATTTCAATTATTACCTGCGCACCCGCGTCTGCGGCAGTCCTCGCAGCCTTGATAACAACAACAACACGATGGAGCGTTCGATTGCAGCGCGTCACCATTATCGCGCCGGCGGTGACGACAACTCGACGATTTTTTTACGAGCTTGTACACACACTGATACACATGCACGCATGCATACACAAGCCGATAATCGTCAAAACAATAATCGCGATGGCCGGCAAATCGTGTTCGCCGAAAGTGTAATCGCGTATCTCTCTCGACGAGATATTCGTACTTACTCGGTGAAACAAGTATATCTTTTCTCACTCTAACTTATTGTACCAGTTCACCAATGCAGCTGAAAAGAACAGATCAATGACTCTAGATTTTGACTCTAATTTTGAGCTCCGTTTCATTGTGTCTAGAGCGCTTTACAACACACTGTACAGATCGCGACATTTTTTTTTTTTTAGGCAAGTTTATAAACACGCGAAGTTCTGTGCTGGAGCATTGGAAATTTAGAGAGCTGTCAAATACGAAGTGCACGAAAACAGAAGTAATTTGTAAGCAAAAATGTAAATATCACACGTTGTAGATCCGTTCTTTTTCGAAAAACTTGCCGAACTGGTGTAGCAAATTAGAGGGAAACAGTATGCACGCTTGTCTCACTTCAACTTATCGCATGAGCGTCACCATTTAAAGTTGTTCGAAAAAGAAATGGCAAACTTTGCATTCTTATACTATTATACAAACTTGCTTTGAGAAAAGGATCGCAACTTTGACGAAAACTCTCTGAGCTGCACTCTCAATCGCACGGCGTCGTTTCCGGAAAGCGTGGCCGTTTCTCGCAGGAGGATGCCGTTTCGGAGGTCCGTGGCAGGTTAATCGATTTACGCCGGGAGGCCCGAACGGCGACGACGGTCGCTCGAACGGCTAGTATCCCTCCATAAGCAGGTAGTCGACGTTTTATTTTCTCCCTTTGCGGTTCCACAGACGAACGCCGAGGGCCGGCGAACGTTCGACTAGTACGTGAGACGTCAAACGCGATGCAAGTTTAAGCGAGAACTCTATGCGCACTGTGAAGTTGCTCCGACTCGAGAGCCTCCGAAAGCGACCAATCCCGATCCAGCATTTCAATAATCGAGCGTTCTCGAGTTCGATCAGGAGAGACTGTTAAAATGTCTTCCCTTTCTTTTCTCGCACTAAATCGTGATTTCATGCAGCTGGACTATGACTTCACAGAAAGGAAAGGACGAGAAGGGCGAAAGAAAAATATAGCAACAGAACAAACGTCCAAAATCACTCACTAGCCCGTCGAGAGAAAGAGAGATATTATATATACTTGAACGGCGAGATCGAAGAACCGTTGCTGCGTGAAGAGAGCGACTTTCGTACGGTGTCGTTGAGACGACACGGCGTGCAGAGGCCAAAGCAACAACGAATTCAACGCATCCTCCCGCTCGATGCTCCTTTATCGAATGGTGGAGCTTCGGCGGGACAGCCGAGAATCCACCAGCCATCCTCGAGCAGGAGAATACCCTCGGCTGGCGATCGACCAAGCGTTGCGTCGTCCTAGCGACGTCCTAGCGACCGTGATCGCGAGCGTCCACTGCGCGCGACACGACCACCACCTCCGTCCGACGTAGCGAGGACTCGAAATCGCGCGAGACGCAACAACGCGAGCACGAGGAGGTTAACGTCGCCGCGGGCGCGAACGCCGGTACGGACAATGGAGCACGCTGCAGCTGTATGAGAGAGAAAGAGAGGGTGCCGTTCTCTCAACGTGGACGTTCCTCAAGACGCGACAGAGGAGGATAACGTGTGCACGGGCGATCGTCGCGGCTAAACCGATCATCACTCACCTGTCTGATCCACGTTGCTCGACGTCCCGCTCGATGACGACGACGATACCGCTGCCAGCCAGGCCGAGAGTGTAAAGCACCGAAAAAAAGAACCGGACGACGAAACTCAACGAGAGACAGACGGACGGACGGGACGGGACGAACACAACACACGCACACGTCACAAAACAGACTGCGGCAGCTCGCCGAGCCTCGACCACTCCGAGCCCGCCGGAGCTTGCCGCCGTCGCCATCTGCCGGCGACGCTGCTACTCGCGCCGCGCATGGCGCAACTTTCGAACGCCGCCTGTGCGCCGAGGAGATTAATACCGCGCCGATGTGGACATTGAAATATATGCAACAAACTGGAACGAGCACCGCCTTTGTTGCTTATTGCTCGATGACCTTGCTTGAGAGAGATAGTTTGAATAGACGATCTCTGGTCTGCCTTTCGCGTACTTTATCCGAGTAAAAATAATATTAGATTATATATACTGTCTTTTGTCGATAAGAATACCTCTAAATATGACTCGTGAATCATTTGAGATTGGCTTACAAGCACGTCTAGAAAACAATTAAAAGACAGTTCGAAATAAGAACCACTGTGTGTCTATAATTCAATATATAGTCTTATTTTCCAATACGGCTTTGGTACCGAGGATCAAGTAAAAAGAGAGACAGAAAAGAATAAGATCTTATTCTCAACTTACTTTTATCGATCTCTAAAAGTGATTTATAGCCAATCAAAAGGCTTAAATGTCACCTTTAGAGATATTTTTATCGATAAAAGAGAGAGAGTTCAGAATAAGGGCTTACATAGAAGGAGACGAAAGGCAGAAGCCGTATTTCTCTTTTCTTTCTCTCTTTCTATCTTTAAATCGCGCGATAAAAGAAAAACTAAGAGGAGGCATTCGCCTTCCGTCTCTTTTTAGGTGATCTTCAAGTCTCGCGTCTTTTATTCTTATTGTCCCTTATTCCAAACTCTTTTTTCTCTTTTTTAACTCTTTTTTATTTAATAAAAATGTCTCCAAAGGTGCTTATACATCAGATGGC